AAGAGCGAATAAAATTACAACTGAAAGGAGTTTTGTCAAACGGGATTGCCAAGAATAAAAACCTAACAGGTCCCTTGTTATCTCACCTATTTTTTTGCAGATAATCTTTTTTTTTTGAGGAAGCCTCGGAAGCCAACTGTCTTTGTATCTCTCTTTCATTCTGAAAGAGTTTTGTGAGTTATTTGGTCAAAAAATCAATTTCGACAAATCCAAAGTTTTCTTCTCCGCAAATGTCTAGGAAAACTTGCAACGTCATCTTGCTTCCTCTTTGAATTTACCTATCACCAGGAATCTTGGGAAGTATCTAGGCTGTCCCATTTACCATTCTAGGCCCAACAAGGCGTTTTTCCAATTTTTAATTGATAAGATTCAAGGTTGGTTTGGCATAAACTAAATAATATAAAAATTCAAAAAGTCACTATCCTATTTAAGTCACATCATCTTATTTAAATCACATCACCTCTCTAACACATCACATCAAACCCAACCCATATAAGCCAGTAAGTTAAAAAGTACACTTTTTTAGAACATCCCAAACCAACCCTTAATGCAAACTTCTTGGGTGGAAGAGCAAGATGTTATCTTTTGGAAAAATGATTGGTGCCTCAACAAAGTGAGGCTCAAATGCCTCGACGTATGTGATTCACGCTCTACGCTCCACCCTCTCTTCCACTTTACTGTATTCAACCCCACAAAATAGAACGAACCCATTCACGAAGGCTTAAACCCAAAAATGAAGCGTTCATCTCTCTCTCTCTATTGAAACCCATAAATTGATTCGGTCCACTAAGCAGAGTGAATTCAGCCAACCCAGTGGCCGATAGTGGAGGGCTTCCGGCGTTTATCGGCGACGTTGCTTTGTTTACCCAAGCCCTAGATCCCCAAATCTCCTCCATTTCCAAGCCCTAGATCCTCAAATCTCCTCCATTGACAACCAAGAAAAGGTCAAATTTTTGGAATTTTTTTTTTCTTAATCCTTTTCCAACGACATTACTGTGTGATTTTTCAAAAAAATGTTGCATTTTTAAATCCTTCCATTATTTTTTGTTTTTCTTGCTCTATTTCATTATGAATTTTTCATGCCCATTATTTGTTGTTTTTCTTGCTCTGTTTTGTTTCATTGTGAATTTTCCATGGATTGTTGAAACCTTCTTCCAAGCTTAACATTATTGGTTTGTTGTTCTGAACTTGTCAACAGTGGAGTTCTTGGTACATGAAATGAAAAATGTTATGAAAATAGACTTGTTCAATTCCCAGCTTACTTATTTTCTTCTTGTAGAAAATGAAGCTGTTATCCATTTTTTTCTTGTTTCATTGTGAATTTTCCATTATTTTTTGTTTTTCTTGCTCTGTTTCATTACGAATTTTCCATGCCCATTATTTTTTGTTTTTCTTGCTCTATTTTGTTTTATTGTGAATTTTCCATGGATTGTTAAAACCTTCTTTGAAGCTTAACATTATTGGTTTGTTGTTCTAGACTTGTCAATAGTGGAGTTCTTGGTACATGAAATAAACCTAGGTCTTCAAAAAAATGTTATGAAAATAGACTTGTTCAAATAGACTTGTTAGTAATTTAAACATGCTGAAATGTTTTGTGATTTTGGAAGAAAAATCAACCTATTGAAATGATGAATTGAAGGCATGTGTGAGAATTGAAAGTGTATGATAAAATGCCTTAATGAAATGCTTTATACTTCCATGGGCCATTTCAGATTATTACTGTTGTTTTTGTTTTTGTTGACTAATGTACTAATTATTTATGAAAATGCTACTGTTAGGAGTAACATGTCAATGGCTTACACTTTGACTAGTTCAAGCAACGATGGTCGCCTTTTCGAAAATCGAGGTTGTAAATGTGACAAAAAAGTGGCCGTTAAGATATCAGACTCACTGAAAAATCCAGGGAGGCTTTACTTCAAGTGTGTAAATGGCAAGTGCGATTACTTTGTATGGTGGGCGCCTACTAGCCAACATGGCAATGCATCAAATATCCGATAGAGGCCTAATCCTAGGCATAGGAAGAATGAAGATGAGAGGAGGAATGATTCTGAAAGAAACTATAAAGCTTTGGACAAATTGGAGCGAAGATTGGAACAGCTTGAAGCAAATGTAAGAACTATGAAATTCCTTGCAATGGCAAGCATAGTGTGTACTGGTTTTAATATGCTAATGATGTTAATTTGTTTAATGTTAAAATGAATGTTGTAAACTTATACATTTGGTTTTGAGAGTTTTTTAGATTTCTTGGTTTGGGTGTATATGTTATTATGCTGGTTTTGTGTTCTTAAACCATCTAAGGCAAAGCAACAGTGAAGTTTTTGTTTGGGTGTAAATGTTATTGCGCTGGTTTTGTGTTCAACAGTGGAGTTTTGTTGCTGGGTTCTTCAACCATCTATGATTTACTGTTTTTGTTATGAGTTTTGATGTGAACAAAAAAGTTTATGAAGAAATGAACATGGGTTTTGCAATTCATTTATCAAGAAATACGTGTGCCCAAACTAAAAGGCTAACAACATAGATGTCTAACAAAAATAGATTAAACTGTTGTTGAACATCTATTCAAACATCTATTCAACACCTGTTCAACATCCATATCTATAACAAAAATAGATTATATCTGCTCAAGACAATAGATATATGTTCAACACTCGTTCAACATCCATATCTATAACAAAAATAGATAAAACTATTCAACATCAAGAATCTATATCTGTTCAAACATCCAACCAACACCTATTCAACATCCATATCTATAACAAAAATAGATTAAACTGTTCAACATCCAGAATCTATATCTGTTCAAACATCCAACCAATACCTATTCAACATCCACATCTATAACAAAAATAAGGAACCTAAGCAACACAGCAGCATAACAGCATAGAACACAGCAGCACAGTAACATAACCGCAAAGTCTATAGCAGCACAGCAGAACAGCGGGCAACATAGCAGATCAGCATCAAAGTATAGCAGTGCAGTAGATGCTCAGCAGAGTAGAAGAGCAGCAACCAGCACTGCCTGTGAGCATCAACAGAATCGAAAAAACACAACCTACAGGAAGCTATGCTCAGACCTGTAACAAAACTTGAAAAAACAAGTGATGAGACTTGATTGGATCCAAAATCACTTTAAACCATCACATTACAAGTGATGAGACTTGATTGGATCCCAAACAAACCAAAGTATCGAAAGTGTACAAAACAAAGTCTTAAAATTACTACTAAAAAACTAGAAATAGAAAGGGGCATTTGGATCCACATCTATATTCAACTCAACACATTTTGAAGCAATTGATCCACTTTGACTGCTTATATTGGTTACCATTCCTGAATGACTAAGAGATCCGCTTCCAATATTATCCACCATTTGCATTGGGCTACCCCGTGCCTATTCAATGACAAAGTAAATAATATGAACAAATTTTGTGACAAACATATCTGCAAATGAAAATAAGAAAAAAAATTCATGTCGTATCTTTAAAACATACTGGTACATACATACTCTCCTGTGTGCCATCAATACACGGACTCGCTTGCATTCCATCCATAGAAGCAAAATTCAAATTACAACCCTATAGGAACACACATTGGTGAGTGATTGAAGTAAACAAAATTCTAAGATTTACATATCAAACAAAATAAAAAATTACCTGCACTTTTGATGCCTTTTTATTCTTTCCCTTCAACCGATTTACTATTTCACCCACTTTGCTAACCTTCCGTTTGGTACATGGACGGCCTCTTCGGCGAGCAACCATAAGACTAAGCACCTTGCGAGTCATGCTTGCATTTGTAGAACTGCGACCGGCTTGAGTTTTAGGGGAAGTATTAGAAGGTTGAACAATACTAGTAGAAGGTAGGACACTACTAGTAGAAGGTGGCACATTACTCGCACAACCCGCCTCAACCTGTCTCATTCTATCCTTGATTTCTATCAACCCAAGTTGAATGACTTTGTGCTTAGCATCATCGTTGGAAGCGATTTGTATAATTTCATATGTGGTGGAAGCGATTTGTTAAGTGGTAGTTATCATGCGTCTTTGCATTCAAAACAGCCTCATATGTGGTGTATGTGGTAGGAATGCATGTGTACCCTCTTTCTAAATCTTTTCTCCATCTCGGCACAATGTATTTATCTGGAACCTCATATGTAGACCTCTTAAGGAGCACACTAAGTTAATGGGCACACATAATGCCCCTAAACTCAAACCATCGACACATACATTGGATGTCACATTCAATGGAATTACAGTACACAACAAATTCCACTTTCTTCATTTGCTCACCAACTGAAGAACCTCTTTCACATGATAAGTACAAATTGATCCTTTCTCTTCCACAAGAGTCACACGACAATACAATAATCGTTTCATTTCTTCTTGAACCTCTTTAAATTTTTCGTTTGTGTAGGCTGCACGAAATTGCTTCTCAAAAGCATACATCGTTAGGCAATCATACAATTTGTTTCGAGATTTAAAATCTACTTTGGCCTCTTTCTCCACCTTACTTCTCAAGGCATTGTCATACTGCTCAACAAATTGCTTTAAAGTAGTCTTCGAGTTGACATATCCATCAAAAAATGCATTTATGCTCTCACTTCGTTGTGTGGTTGACATACCAACTCAAAAAATATCTTTCACATAGGTAGAAATCCACCTATGTCGCTCATCATATAATACTCCCAACCAATCATTATCATGTAGACTGAACTTTGCAATCATTGCTTGTCATTCTTCATCAAATTCATTTTTTGTGAAAGACTCATAAACTGCCTTTTGCAAAGCAAACTTTATGAATTCATATTGCGAATAGGCTCTCAATTTTTTCAGAATTTTCTTCATTATATGCTATAAACACTAACGATGTCGAGCCTGTGGAAAGACAATTTGTATGGATTTTGCATAGCTTTGCACTGGTTAGTTATTATAGCATTCGGAGGAGTGTTTGACATGCAACTTAACCATGCTCTGAATAGCCATACAAATGTCTCAGTGTTCTCATTACATAACAACCCACAACCAAACAAAAGACTGTCTATGGTGATTAACTCCTACAAACAAAGCAAACGACATGTCATATTTGTTTGTCAGATAGGTTGTGTCAAATGTGACAACATCCCCAAATGCTTTATAAGCTGCCCTACTCCTTGCATCTGCCCAAAATAAGTTTCGCAAGCGTCCTTCTCCATCAAAGTCCATTTCATAGTAGAAGTTTGAATTTTTTTGTTGCATCCTATGAAAATAAAATGCAACTGATTCGGCATCTCCTACTCCAAGCCTCAATCTTCTAGCCTTCTCAATGTGATTCATTGCATCTCGTTCGTCAAATGTTAATGCCTCAAATCCCCCCGCTTCAACAACCATAAAATGAAAATTCCTAACCACCCCTATCTCTGCCTCATCGTTTATTTCTAATCTTCTTTTCACAGGAGTTAGAATTCTCTTATTTATTGCAAAATACCGTGAGTCACTAGGAACCAAGTCGAGAGCATGCTTCAGCACAATGGTTGTCAACTTAAATGTTCCATCCTTTTGTAGACTCCCTCTTACTTTTGCTTTACAATCATTTTTAGATGACAAAGATGGTTCTAGCGGGTTCACTTCCGATCTTTTTCTTCTCTTCCTTGCCCGAGCACATTCAATTCCAAAATATTTTAGTTCCCATCATTACCAAAATTTTGTGTTCCATAAGCTATAGCAAATCCAAAGTGCTTCGCATATTTTGCATAAAATGCATACACTTCTTTCTTTGAAGTAAAACACATCCCCTGCTTTGGTTTTTCAACTTCACCACTCTCGAGTTCTTCAACTTCCTGACTAGGATTGTTTGAACCTTCCATCCTTTTGTTGCTAAAATGAAGCTTCTAGGTTAACAATTCAAAACATTTGAAACAGGAACTGATCAAAAACATGTGAAACAGAATTTTGATGGGACATTATCGAGAATTTTGTGAAACATGTGACAATCAAGATAAAGGATAATATCGAGAAAAAGCAAGCTGGGAGCTATCGAGAAAAAAGCAAGCTTGGAGCAATATACTTTATGACATCCAAAAACTATCAAATACAAAATTCAGGTTATAGGCATATCACATTCCACCAAAAAACAAGAAGAAAATGGATAACAGCTTCATTTTCTACAAGAAGAAAATAAGTAAGCTGAGAGCTATCTACAAAGACAGTTCAAACAACTTCATTTTCTACAAAATGGATAACAGATTTTGTTCAATGAATGATTAATCTCTTTCTATGTGGACTTTCAGCAAACACATACAATGCATCAATACAAAAACACCAAAATCAGGTTATGGACCAAGAAGATTACAACCAATGTAAAGAAAATATGAGCAAAATCATAGACCAACCAGATTTCAACCAATGTAAAGCAAATGTCAATGTTTGAAGCAATACCAGTGACCCACGAATCAATTCGTTGTTGGTGGATGGAGCCGAAATTTTCAGTGAAATCAGAGGAATTAGAGAGTGGTAGACGATGGTCAATGGCCACCGGTGGTCTTCTTCGTCATTGGTGGCCACCTAGAGCATCATCATCGTCGCCACCTAGGTCGTGGTCTTTCTATCTCCTGAGAAGCAGAGCTGCTAGGTCGTAATATTGTTTGTTTCTAAGTCGTAACATTATTTTGTAGGAGCGTGAAATCCACATAGGTATTGTTGTGCGTGATGAATGGACAGACGACTTCATTCGCGCCAATGTCATTCGAGGTCTGTAACAGCTTTGTTGGTCATGTTACTCTTATCAAAGCAGTGAACGCAGCCATTCCTACTAATATCATGCAGTGTAATTTCATTCCTATGTCTATGTCTAACACCATTGATAAACTTGTTATCCAAAAGACAACCTAAGAGGGGAGGGTGAATTAGGTTTTTACAATTAAAAATTAATAATACCCTAATAAAAATTATGACTAGCACAATAGATAAATATAGTTAATGAAATAAAAATAATTAAAACAAGTGTTCTAACAACTATGTCAGTTAATAATTTTAGCATAGTGAAAATGTGAAATATAGCTACAATAATTTAAATAAAATAAAGAGATAAGGGAGAGTGTAACAACCCTCATACTGTTTACTGATTAAGGACTGATTGATTACCGATAATCACCGATTACTGCTAAACGAAACTGATAACGACTGATAACTGACCGATAATCGAACTGATTAAAGTACTGAACTGACTGACTGAAATTGGAAACTGAATTGACTGAGTATATGTTAGTTAATTGCATTCTATCTGTTTGATTGTCTGATTATCTGTTCATGTTTATATGTTTAAACTGCTAATTGAAGGCCTTATCGGCGGCCGAATTAGAAACCGATTGATGTTCCGTGACCCTCATAATTAATGTGATTTTATGGTATATTTATCTGAAAACTGATTAGGTATGATTAAACTGTTAAGTAGGCCTTCGGTAATCTCGGATTACTGGCCGGTTACGGTGCTAAACCCATAGGGCCGGGTTTGGGTCGTGACAGAGAGAGAGGCAAACAAATTTATAGTAGTTCAGCTTCAACTCGACCTACGTCCACTCGTCAAGCTTCACTTGAGATTTTCTACTATGCTCTAGCTTCACGGGAATGCTAGCAACCTCTTTACAAATGGAGCAATCCTCCACGGATTTTACACAGACTTTCTAAGTCAAGAACACTGAGTGTACTACACTCTTACAAGGTTGAAAAGAATGTGTTTTTACTTTCACAGAAAGCTACAAGAATTATCTCTCAAAGATAGATATAAAAATGAAGCTTTGGTTTTTCTGTAAATCTCACACAAGAAAGATGGGCTTAAAGCTATAAGGCTTAGTGTATAATTTCTAAGAGAGGATGTAAATAAAAATTGAAGAATACTTCTCAGAGAATTTTTCAAAAAATAGATGTGAGTGATTATAGATAAAAGAATATTTTCAGGTTTTTTGTATAATTAGTTTTACATTATAGGCTTTGGTATATATAATGAAAATTATAGTCATTTATAGCCGTTGTAGTCATCATTACTAATTTGAATATCTTCCACTTGAACCTTTTGACCTATTAATTTGAATTTATAGCCATTGTACTCCATCATTACTAATTTGTATATCTTCCACTTGAACCTTTTGAACTATTCATTTGAATTTATAGCCGTTGTAACTCCATCATTACTAATTTGAATATCTTTCCCTCCATCATTACAAATTTAAATATCTTTCACTTGAATCTTTTGAACCTTTTGAACTATTCATTTGAATTTATAGCCGTTGTAACTCCATCATTATTAATTTGAATATCTTTCCCTCCATCATTACAAATTTGAATATCTTTCACTCGAATCTTTTGAACCTTTGTTTTGTGCTGTTTGAACTCCTGATTTAATCAAATATTAAATATATTCTAACTACATTTAGGATAAAGGTTTAGGTGAGAAATAATGGGACAAAATAAATTTTGATTCTATTTTTCTCTTTTAAATAAATTAAAACATAATTAAATAAATCATCAAAATAAATTTTGGATTTAAAATATAATTAAATAAATCATCAAAATAAATTTTGGATTCTATTTTTCTTTTTTAAATAAATTAAAATATAATTAAATAAATTATCAAAATAAATAAGTCTAACAAAACTCAATAGGGATTTTTTGTGGGGTTCCTCTTTGGAACATAGGAAAATTCATGGTGTAGTTTGGGATATGGTTACAAAACCAAAAAGTCTTGGTGGGCTCAGTATTCGAAAAACTTCTTTGATTAATAGAGTTGCTATGACTAAGTTAAATTGGAGATTCTCGAGTGAGGATAGTTCTCTGTGGGCGAAAACTCTTAAGTCAAAGTATGGTGAGATGGTGAGAACTTGCTCTAAAACATCCGCTGTTTAGAGGAATATGCTGAAAGGTACTACCAATCTTTGTTTCATTAAAAACAACCAAGGTGATTGCCACTGCTCTTGAATGGTAGCACATTACTGTTACAAAGAAGCCCCCCCATAGGTTCTACCAATCTTTCCATAGGCTAGAAACCCTCTCCCCACGGGATTTTGAAACTTAATTGTCATGTCCCAAAATTTGGACAATTAAATATTAAATTAGGACTAAATCCCAATCAACATTCCATCATCCAAATCCTAAGGGTGAAACAAAAAGAAACTAAATGCTAACCAAACCATCCACCATAAATTTCATAATTAACCAATACCTCAACATTAAGGTAGCAACAACTAGTTAAAACAACTTAAATAAAGTACGGTTACAAACCATGCCAAATTATTCCAATACTAAAGTCATAAAAAAAAATAATAAATACATAAACTAATATCAACCCTAAGCTCAAAAAAACAAAAAAAGTCCAAACAACATGTCCTACGATCACAGTTATTTCTTGTCACCACCATAGCCTCAACTAATCCTGCAAAGGAAGCTCAGCTGCGCTCAAACAGAACGCACCCGAGTTGCCAAGAGACAAAACGGGTTAGTATACAGATATACTGGTATAAGTACAAGATTCAACACCCACGTGTCCATCAGACACAAACAAAAATACATTAAATTCTTATTACGGGACAAGACAAGTAATTCCAACCGCACCGAGACGAATGAGTAGTTTCTCGAGATACGGTGACATTTAGTTTCTTGTCCGTACACAACGAAATATAAATTGATTATAAAATAATCAAAATAGAAATAAAATATGGTGTGTCAGCCCTGCCCTGCATAAAAAAATTTGTAAGACCCACCATCCTGCAAAAAAAAATAAAGTTAATATAATTTAATCATAAGTAACTTACTGAAGAAGTATAAAAATGTACCATTTTATGCTTAAATAATTCGAATTAACCAAAACTCAAAGAACAAAAGCTGTACAGAATCAAATTTTCTAAAAGATAGAGCGAACGAATTTAATAGAAACTGAACAGGTTGATAGAAAAACTTGATATAAAAATCTAGACGGAAATCAATCGAAAAATCTGAAACCGAAAACGAACAAAAACTGCCATAAGATGATTTTTTTTAAAAAAGTTTAAAACACGAAAAGTGTGCAAAATAATGTTTTACTTCAGTTTATGCGAAACCAATAAAAATGAGCTCGTTTCGTGGCTTAAAACAGCCTATAAAATCTGCATTACCAAAATGAATCAAACCGACAATAACCAAGGTCATCCGATTATAAATTCTAATCGATCTTTTTAATAAAAAACTAAAACACAAAAGTTGTCCAAAATCACGTATTCATGCCTCTGCTCAAATTTCATAATTTATTGAAGTCGATTATTATTTTTCAAGATGTACAAATCAATAAACTCATAATTAAATTTTTTTGTACCTTAACACCACCACTTCGGCCCTCTCCTTCCGGCCTACACATATATCCCATGTGCCTCCCGTATACCTAACACCACTCCGAAGCCAAACTTGCACGGGGATATCGTCTCGAGTTTGACTCACACTCCCCAGATGGTTAGCATATACGTACGCGCGCAAATCAAAGCACTCGTCTACTCATGAGAACGAGATAACAATATATATATACACAACATCTCACACATGAGAACAAACATAACAATGCCAAGCCTAAGGCATTCAAATAAATCTCATAATCTTCACTTTTTTTTGTACTCTTTTTCACCATCACTCAAATAAATCAACAATCCATGAAGTCATGGTGAAGTATAAGAAATTTATCTATAGGTTCTTAATTAATTTTAATTTCATATAACCATATTAATTTTAGTTTCATATAATCATGAGAGTAATTGCAACCATAAAATAAATCCATATAAAAACCTTAATCTGACCTACACAACTAATCAAAATCAATCAATCAACTAAAAACCCTAAACCTTAAGTA